ATGAGATTGGATATTTTCTTTCTTCCTTGGGCCTGTGTGTTTCATTATCAGGATAGGGAAACATTGTGTCGGAACTTGATGTCCCACTATCATTCTTCCCGGGCCTCCGGCACTAAATTCCCAGTTGTTATTATTTAACATTTATTAAGTGTCTGGATTGCTGGGTCGCTCTCTAAGAGCCGCGGGGAAACAGCTGGCAGTTAACCATCCTTTATACGTGCTGTGTCTGCTCCGCTCAGCGCTCAGCCAGTCTCCGGAAAGAGAGGCCACCTTTTGCTCTCAGCGCTGCCTCCAATCAGGAACAAGAAGGTGTCCCCCTGCGGGGCTCCTGAGCACCCCCACCTGACTGCCCCACTAGCAAGTGCACAGAAGAGCGGCACGGGGAGGGAGCATTGTCAGGCAAAGTGGGTGTAAGGTGGGAACCAAATGGGAGGAATAATGTGGATTGGAGGTATGGCATGGAGGGCTGTAGGAGGGAAATGGAATGGCGTGAGGGGGCAGTGGGGGGAGGGGAGGAGATTCGGGGTGGAGCGGAGCCCCAGCCTGATGGCGGAGAACAGGTACCTGCCTCCCTGGTAGTTTAGTGCTCCACTCTGTGCACGCTCCCAGATGTTCTGCGGTTGCCATGGTGGCTGGGCCAGGGCTAATGGCTGGGCAGCAGGGAAGACGAGGCCGCAGAAGGCTTTTTGTGCCATTTTAGGACTGATTCCAGCAGCTTCACATTCGGCACATCTGGAGTACTTTTGTAATGGGTTTTTAAAACTTTTCCATCATCTGCATGTGGAGCGAGCCTTTGCTTACCACGAAGCCCGCTGGGAACCGAGATTACAAAGATAAACCCAGTCACACGTGGGCCAGTGGGGCCACTTGCTCTCCGGGAGAAGTTAGTGGGGGGAGATTAGGCAGAAAAAGGAAGTGGTGGGAGGGGATGACAACACAGAGAAGACTTGTGAGTCTCGCGGGGGGCGGGGCGGGGGACACACACAATTCAGTTGAGTGAAGTTTTTTACTAAAAATCAAATCCCCTAAGAGAACAGCCTGTCCATTTTAGGCAAAAGGTACAGGTGTGTATCTACACACATGTAATATAAACTGCTGATCTTCTCCTTCCCCCCTAATCTACATTTGGGGGGAGGTGGTGACCTGCAGGTACCTTCCCAGCCCTGCGGTGGCCAGGAGGAAATACCCCACAGCCTCTGGAAGGCAAGCAGCGGTGGCATGGAACTGACATCTGGTCCCAGCTTTGCAGATTAGCCATGCCATGAAAGCTTGCCAACCCACAGGAAATCACAGCGGCTTGCGCTGCCAGAGCTCTCTTCCAGGGGCCCGGTGGTTGTGTTCGCTCTCCAGGGACCTGCATCCCTGCAAGGCAGACAAAGGAGGTTTCTGATGGCCCAGGGTCAGGAGCATCTGACTATGCACTACCCGCAGCTGAGGGGTTGCCTTTCAAAGGTGCCACACCAGGAAGGGTCACAGTGACTAGTCCCTCCTTGTCTGGTCTTCTCTGGGTGTGTTGGGCCCCTGTTCAAATCAAACAGCTGGGGGTGCCACACGGCCATTTGGATTCTGGCCTAACCTAACACTGTTTTGCACACTGTTGCCTGCCTCTCTTGCACAAACATAACAAAACACAGGTAGTTGAATGCTTTTCTAGGATGCTAGTACTAAGGTCCAGAAGATTGGCCAGGAATTTAACCTCGGTGCAGAACCTATCGATTGAGACCTATTCATACATTCAACAAATATTTACTGTGTGCTCTGGTGGTACAGGGGTCGGCACCTTGGGCTTCAAACCACAAAGTCAGTGGTTCAAACCCACCAGCTTCCCCCAAGGAGAAGGATGAAGTTTTCTGCTCCCTTGTAGACCCACAGGGGGCAGTTGCTGCTGTGGTCTAGGGGGTTGCTATGAGTTGTAATCCCCTCGATGGCAGAGAGGTTGGTTTTTTGTTTGTTTGGTGTTGCTACGTACCAGGTGCTGTGCTGGCTTACTGCGGGGAGAGGGAAAGGACAGCCTCATCGAGTACGGCAGACACGAGCCCTGTCCTTAGGGAGTCTACAGTAGCAGAGAGTGACACACGTAAAAGAGCGTAACAGATGAATGAGTGAGATGCAGATTGTGACCGATGCCATGAAGGAAGTAGCTAAGGTGCTAAGCTGGGGCATAGAAAATAATCAAAAAGAGAAAACTAGTTGTCTGGGAGCCCTGGTGGCATAATGGTTACACCTTGGGCTGCTAACCACAAGGTCTGCGGTTCAAAACCATCAGCCACCCTGTGGGGGAAAGGTGGTTTGCAAGGGGTGGGGAAGATAAGGCTTTTTACTTCTGTAAAGAGTTACAGGCAGAAACCCCCGAGCCTTTCTGTTAGCAGCCAATTGGGTTACTCCACGGAGGAGAGGGGGAAGGCCTCCCTGAGACCTCAGAGAGGGCGTGGACCCCAACAAGCAGAGAACGGTGATGAAGGCGGGGTGCCGTGCTAGAGCCGTGCCGAGAACTCCACGCTCTCCTCCAGGATAACGGAGTCGGAACAGCCACGTTCCTCAAGTGGAACCTTTTCCTGAAAGAGGGCAAGGAACAAGTCCTCTTATTTAGCCCTGCACAGTGGTTACCATGCTGGGTTGCTAACCACAAGGTCAACAGTTCAAACCACGGCCTGGCCTCTGGCCTTTGGCCCTGGCTCTTCTCAGGAAGGAGCCCTCAGGGGTCATGGACAGAGTCCATGGCCACGATTGGGCTTTTCATGCTTGTATAAAAAACATATCTCTCTTGGTGGAGATAAAGAGGGTCTGCATGTGATCTGAAGTGAGTGCTCCCAGAGGACCATCCATATCTAAGGGGAAAGAGATATTTTATGTTTCCTAAAACAAAATGAAGATGGCCTGGCGGCATCGTGCGTTACACACCAGGCTGCTACCCCCAAGATCAGCAGTTTGAAACCACCAGCCACTCCGGGGGAGAAAAACAAGGCTTTCCGCCCCTGTAAAGAGTTACAGTCACTGAAACCCAGAGGGGCAATTTGACTCTGTCCTACAGGGTCTCTATGCATCAGAGTCAAGTCCATGGCAGTGAGTTTAACGTCTTATGTAAGGGAGCCCTGGGCCCATAGTGGGCTAGGCTGCTCAACACAGTGTCTACAGCTCACACCCAGCAGGAGTTCTACAGGAGGCTGTCTGCTCAAATAGACTTAAAGCGTTGGAGAGCCACGCCGACAGTTGTCCTGTGCAATTGTACCCTGCCTTAGAAGGTCGCCGTGAGTCCTCGTCTACTCCATGGCAGAGGGTGAGTGGGAGGACTTCATTGGAGGCCTGGTGACGCAGAGGCTACGACGTGTTGGACTGCTGACCGCAGTCAGAGATCCCAACCCACCAGCCCCTCCATCAGAGCACAAGGAGGCTGTCTGCTCCAGGAGAGATGTACTGCCTCGGAAGCCCTATTTTTCCCCATACCAAGACAAACACAACACAACTCACTGCCATCCAATCGATGCCAACACATGGTGACCCTATCGGACAGGGTAGAACTGCCCCCGTGGATGTGTTTCTGAGACTGTAACTGTTTACCAGAATAAAAAGCTCTGTCATTCTCCCAAGGACCGGCTGGTGGTTTCAAACTGCTGACCTTGGGATTTGCAGCCCAATTCTCAACCACTCTGCCCCTAGGGGCCCTCTCTGCCCAGAGGGTCTTTATAAAGCAGTAGCCACTTGATGGCAGTGGGCTTGGTAGGACCTCATCTCTGAATGGCATTTGTTCTGAAGTGGAGTTTAATTCTGCTCCATTAAAAGTGTGATTCCCTGATGGTCATTTGATTCTTTTGCTGTGGGGGAGGGGGGTGCGGGAGGTGTGGCGATTCCAGCTGTTGTTGAGAACTTAAAAATTGTTTCCAGACAAACAAAACTAACGTGACCTTCCTGTAATTCTCTTTTAGATGACCTGGCAAGTGAACACATGAAAGTGTAAGTCTTTCCCGTGGCTTCCCACCCAGCTCAGCCCGGGCTAGAATGGTTAGGGACAGAAAGAAGTCCATTAGAAAGCCATGCCCCCTTAGAGACCACCGCCCCCTTCTAGAGGTTTCCCTGAGTGGCCTGCCCCTCCAGCGTGGATCTCTGGCCTCCCCAGCACCCGGCTATGGCCTCAGAGGCCTATGGGAGACAGCGCTTCATTCCCCAAACTACAGGCTAGGGAGTGGGGTGGGGGGTGGGCGGGATAAGGGCAAGTCTGGTTTCTTTTGTTGTCCTGGGTTTTGAAGGAATCTTGTTCTACTGCACCCACTCCAGATGAGTAGTTCCGTACTCTGGTCCTGGGTGTATTTTAAGGATATCAGATCTTTTATTCTGATACAAACGTGCATCACCTGGGAAGGTACCTTCGCCGGCATTAGGAGAGTGGATCGCAGGAAGAAGCATAAAGTTTGCACAAAATGAGGCTGTGAGAACCGCCCAGCCACGCGGGGGTGGGGAGAGGGAAGTGAAAGGCGGAGGGAGGAAGGAAGGGTTTCCACCCAAAAGAGTGTTCTGGGCCGGTGCTCCTGGCCTGTCCCCTCCCCGTACTGCTGGTCACTTCCTCTCCACAATGGGACTCCTGCTTGGGGCTCGGGGCTGGTGGTCCTCTCAGGTCCAGCTCCAGCCCCATCTAGTCCAGGAGCTGCGATCGAAGGGCTCTCAAGCCCGCGTGTTAAAGATGAGCTGTGTGTGCTCACAGCAGGTTGGTGGCTCTTGACCTTGAGCCTTGATCTGAAACACCAAGGAAAGGGAAGTGAGATTAAGTAACACTGTAGGCTCACCTCAGTAACTCCCCTGGGGGCCCGCAAGGTGGAGGAAGCCTGGGTGCCTTTGGCAGACAGTGCCAGTTGCCTGGTTTCTCTTTGCAGCTTCAAACTGGGCCTGTGCACCTTTGATTGTTAGATCCGTGGTAGAGTTAGTTTGGGGTTAGTGTTAGTCTGTTGCCATTAGTGTCTGAGAGCCCCGAACAGGAAAAGACCCTCCAGGTTACCATGGCGTTTAAGACGCAACATTAATGACCTTCATTCTCCTCTGGGTCAACATTCCGGGCTCACCTCGGATGAAATTTGGCCCAGTGGACATTTGTGCCGATTTTTATCTTCTGCTTTTTGTTCTCCTTTCTAGCCCTATTTTTGAGGAAGACACGCCCTCTGTTATGGAGATAGAAATGGAAGAGCTTGATAAATGGATGAACAGCATGAATAGGAATGGTACGTGGTAACCTGCTTCTTGATTTATTGGTTTGGTTTTGCGTGTTTAGGAAAATATTTTGTGGGGGCTTAGGTGAAAGTTTAAAAAGCAAAGGAGGCTCCCATTGGGCAATTTATGCACACATTGTCCTGTGGCCGGTGTTGCAACACCCACAACGGGTCAGCATTCTCCTCTGCAAAGGCTGCTTCTTTTTGCTCCAGTGTTAGGGAGCTGCAACAGTTCTGGAAAGATCTCAGCTGGAGCCTGGAACACGGCAAAGCCCAGGCCCATATCCGATCATGGGCACACGCAGATAATACACGTGGTGTTCCCTGTCCTCACACATCCAGTTTAATTACTGCATCCATTTCTTCCACTTGTGTTAATCGCTACACAAGTTTGGAAATGGTCCTTTTCACTCAGAAAGTTGGGGGTTGGTTTGTCTTTTTTTTTTCCAAAGCAGGGAAATCTCGGAGACAAAATTATCTGGGTGAACAATTGGCATTACCTTACAGATTGATGGAACTTCTCTCCCCTTGCTGTCGTTGAGGGCATTTCCAGCCACCCTGTCCCAGAGAATTGCCAGGACTACATAGGCAGCTTTCTCTTGGTCTTGTGGGTATACACCCCTGACCTCGGGGTTAGCAGCTCAACATGTGTTCCGCAGCACCACCAACACTTCTCAAATCTAAACCTAGCAAAGATGATTGACATAGATCTGCGTTGTTCAAGATGGTAGATATTTGCCAACGGTGGCTATTTAAAAATGAATTAATTAAAAGTTCAATACCCCAGTCACTACTTGTAGCTAGCGGCCATTGTATTGGACAGCACCGATATAAAACATTCCCACCACTGCAAAATGTTCTATTGGTCACAGCATTAATATAGATGATAAGTATCATTTAACTGAATTTCCAATTGACAAACTGGCAGTAATTGTAGTATACGGCTCCTTACTTTATATTAAACCAATATCTGGGCTTAAAAAAGGTTGACAATTGGTTCTTTTTCTATTCCTTTATAAGCTAAAGTTTTTAGTACTCAGATTAAATTCATAAAATCAGAGTTTGTGTTATCATATCATTTTTTTATCATATCATTTTATAAATAAACATTTACCTTAACATATGCTGGGATTTATCAGATTCAGCCATCTACAATGGAACTGTCATGTCATTTAAATGGGAAGTATTGACATTTGAAGTATTGGACCAGATGCTTGCTTACCAAGATGGGTTTCCAAAAGATCTAAGCCACTCAGCTAATTTGCATAATCTCCAACAGTTTTTCATAACATTGGAGGATAACGGCTCTGGGAAGTATTTTAGGACAAGAGTGGGTCATTGAGCACATGTGAAAAGTCCTTTCACTGTCTTGTCTTTAGTTTATGAGTGATGTGTACATATGTAGTTGAATTTGGAAAATGAAAAATAAAAAGTAGAAAGAAGCAAACATCCCACCACTCAAGAATCACCTCTCAATATTTGGTGCAAGGTGTTCATGCCTGAGATCATTGTAATAAGAAAATCCTATTACACCTACCCAAATCAGCCACCAGTCAGCCCTGGGGGCTGCTAACTCGGTGGTCAGCTTCCCGTGGAAGTTTGGCAGCAGGAAACCGCCCCAGGCACCTTGGAAGACAGGCCACACGATGTGATGAGAAACATGGGAAAGTGCTCATTGCCGATTCTAAGGAAGCAGAAGTAAGCCCATGCCTGCCTGCCTGCCTGGGTGCTCCATCCCTGTCAGGGATGGTACATTTGCAAAGAGGCTTCAAATCTGCAGGAAGCTGCTGAGAGGACAGATGCCAGCCGGACCTAGGCTCAGAATCTTGGAAACGGTGGGGGAGAAAGAAGGTGAGAGTGTTCATTGCAGATTAGTAAGTGAGCACAAGGAAAGCTGTGCTCGCCTTGCTTATTGGGTAATTCATCACGGGCCAGCCACGCGATTCCAGTTGTCTGACCTAAAACACGCAGATTCTAGCTGTTGGAGCGGCCGTGTGGTCCGACCAGACAGGACCAAGCAGTGATGGATCGCTCCCTTCCCTTCAGGGACAGAGGCACCTTAAAGCTTCCTATCCATGTTCGTAGTGCTTTCCCCCTTTCAGCTTCCTGGCCCTCATGAATCTTGTAACCCCCAGAACTCCCTGGCGTGGCCGTTTCTGCACAAGTAACCACACAGACCCAGGAAATGCAACACTCCGCTGTGTGGGTTTTGTGGACAGGAAGTA